CGACTTACCGGTACCTGTTCGACCGGCGATCAGAAGGTGAGGCATCGCTGCGAGATCAACCGCCAACGAGTTCCCCGACACATCCTTACCTAGGAAGATGGGGACTTTCATCTTGTTCATGCGGCCGCTGGCTTCTTCCATCACCTCGCGCAGGCGGACCATCTGCCGCTCGTCGTTGGGCACTTCAATCCCAACAGTGTTCTTCCCAGGAATCGGCGCGACAATACGAACGCTCGGAACACGCAGGGCAATTGCCAAGTCGTCCGCGAGCCCGGTGATCTTGGAAAGACGCAGGCCTGCTTCGAGTTCGACTTCGTACTGGGCAATGACCGGACCGGTTTCGATCTCGACCACCTTCACGTTGAAGCCAAAGTTGAGGAATGTCTTCTCGAGAACTTTCGCCTTCTTGCGAACTTCTTTCTCTTGCTCTTCGAAGCTGAAGTCATCGCTTTCAATCAACAATTCGATCGGCGGAAGCTCGTAGTTTTTCGGATTCGCACGGCCATTGGCGGCGCTGTCGAGCTCGCTCATGACGTTTTTGCGATCTTCTTCTTGCTTCTGTTTTTTGCTGTTGCTGTTCTTGACCGATAGCGCCGATTCCTGAGCCTTATCGACGCGGGTAATCGGAACTTCCTCGTCCGCTTCTTCTTCCTCGAGCTCCTCTTCGACTTCTTCGTCGATCTCCTCTTCGGTGTCTTCCTCTTCCTCGACCTCTTCGTCGGCGGCCGCTTCTTCGTCGAAGACCTCTTCGCCATCCTCGAATGGAATTTCTTCGTCGACGTCGGTCTTCAGCTGGCGTCCGCCAATTTTGATCCGCACGCCCTTCTCGTCGTACTCACCCTCTTCTTCGTATTCGTATTCTTCTTCCTCGCCATCAAGCCCAAATTCGGCCAACAGCTTCGCTTTGCGTTCTTCCTTCAATCGTTCACGACGACTCTTCCAGGCAGCCGCGCCGGCTTGGGTTTTTTCTTTCGCTTTCAGGAAACTCCACACCGTTAGCCGGACCAGTTCGTACTCGGTGCACAGCAGCAGCCCGCACGCAGTAACAGCCAGGCAAAG